GGTGAAAATTTCAAGCTTCCCCTCCCACTCCACCCATCTTCTGTTGCAGGGCTAACTGTGGGTCTTTACAGAAAGATTGCATGCACTGGTTGATATGCATACGTGGAGACAGATTCTTTAAAGATGGTAGCAACCTACATGCACCACCCGGTGCCTTCAATACCTCTCCATTCTTCTGACAAACTCCTGTTATTTTAGAAAATACAGAATAAGTATACTACATATCAGTTTTTACCTCAGTTATAGAAAGGGTCTTCAAAAACCCCTCTGCAAAGGAGTCATTGACATACAATAGTCTGCACTTGTTCTAAGTGAGTCCCATGAGTTCTGACAAAGGTGTATGCTTGTGTCAGGGACCACTGTCCCCATCGGGACAAAGGGCATTTCTGTCCTAGGAAGAATTTCCTTGTGACTCTTCTGGTCAAGCCCCTTGCCCTTCCACAAGCCTCCAAGTGACCACTGACCCATTTTCTGTGACTCTAGATTTGTCCTTTCTAGAGTTTCATAAAACTAAAATCACACAGTGTGCACCTCCTGTTTGCCTGACGTCATTCAGCACAGTGTCAGTGAGGCTTGTCCATCGTCAGGGTTTGCCTTTTCACAGCCGCTGTCGTCCCGCTGCACGACTACTCACCGCATGTTGACGGACACTTAAGTCGCTTTTAGCTCTTGGCTGTTATTAAATAAAGCTTCTGTGAACATTGCTGTGCAAGTCTCAGCATAGATACACATTTTCTATTGTATATTATCTGGGAGTGAAAATGCTGTAAACAGTACGTGAACATGGAAGAGTAAAGGAAACTCTCCAACTTTTCCGACCTGGTACAATTTTACATCCCAACAGGACTGCAGGAGGGCTCTATGCTCTGTCCCCTTGGCAACACTGGGTGTCGTCTGCCTCTTAAATTTTGGTCATTCTGATGCGTGTCTCATGGTACCTCGTTGTGACTTGAATTTTCATCACCCTTATAACTAGAGATAACGAACATTTCACGTGCTCATTGACCATTCATGTGTCTTCTGTGAAATGCCTGCTCAAATCTTTTCCCTAATCCTTTTTTTAAGATTTATTTTTTATTGAGGTAACATTGTTTTATACCATTTATATACAGTTCATTTGCACAAGTGTGTATTTCTACTTCTGTGTGACCTACAGCATGCTCACCACCAAAAATCTAGTTTCCATCCATCACCGTACAGCTGACCCCTTCACCCATGTTGCCTGCCCCACTTCCCCTCTGGTAATCACGACTCTGCTCAAACTTCTGGTTTTGTCCATTCAATTTTGTTTGCTTGTTTCTTAATATTCCACCTATGAGTGAAATCACTGACTGAATCATTGCCCAAATTGGTAATTTGCATCTTCTCTTTTTCTTAATCCATCCACCTTCCCAAACTGAAATTCTGTCCCATCAAACTGTTTTCTTTCGTGGCTGCACCGTTTAACATCCCCACCAGCGGTGCACGACGGCTCCAATTTCTCCACAGTCTGGCCAACACTTGTCATTTTCTCTTTTGATAGCAGCCATTCTTAGGGGTGTAAGCTGATATCTCAGTGTGGTTTCGATCTGCATTTCCTGATGGCTAACGATGTTGAGCATCTTTTCAAGTGTTTTTTGGCCATTTGTACATCTTCTTCAGAGAAACGTCTATTCAAGTCCTTTGTCCATTTTTGAATTGGATTGTTTTCCGTTGTTGGGTAACTTTTCTTTTTAAACACATTTTATCTTGATTTGTTTTGCTGAGACATGATTTATTTTAAGCATTAGAAGCTGAAAGAGGAAGGAGGCTGTAACTCAAGTGGTAGAGCACATGCTGAGCATGCACAAGGTCCTGGGTTCAATCCCCAGTGCCTCCTCTAGAAATAAATAAATAAGTAAACCTAATTCTCATCCCCAAATAAATAAACAAAATTTAAAAAAAGAAGCTGAAAGAGAAAAGTTAAATCTTTACATCTTTTTCAACTTACCTCATTTTCAAAGCCACCTTCTGCCAGTCAGCACGATGACTTTTAACAAGAACTGACTTTCCATTATAGTTGTCACATGCACAGAGATGTGAGGATTGCATTTCTTGCCATCATTCATGTAATGATGCACGCGTGGTGATGTGCCAGAAAACACCTGCTCATGACAAGGATCTGTTCCTTCCTCTGACGGTACACGAATGGTCATCAGATGGAGGTACCCTCTTCCTTTCTGTTTCAAAACAGTGACAGGAAATGATAAAAGGGGAAAGGTCTCAGAGTTTGCAAGCTGATGACGGTGCCCGTGACCAGCACGGGAAGGAAGTGACAGTGGGGACACCTGTGCAGAGGCTGGAGCCAGGCTGGCCTCTCTGGGATGACAGGCGAGTGGCACGCGCACCCGGTCCGGGCCAGTAACTGCCAGCAGGCCAGGCCCCTTCCTCCCAGAAGCCTCCTTTATTTAGTTTTTAATCTGGGAAGCTTCATTTTGGATACAAAAATACTTATGGATGGCATGATATGATCTCCGTGGTTTGCTTCTATCTAATGTGGGGGTGGGGGTGGGGTGGGTAACGCGATGGGTGTGAACTGGGCCCTGCTGGGGCTGGGGCATGGCAGGGGGTTGCTATTTTATTCTTGCATGTATTCATTTTTTTCTATAATAGAGTTTTTTTGTTTAAAGAAACATCCTCTTATTTTTTTTCTTCCTTGGTATTCTTTAAACAAAAACAAACCGGTGATCATCTCAACAGGAAGAATGCAACCCTACTCCAGTTGAACTAAGTCAGAAAAGGTCTTACAAATGAACTGCATATATTGCTCATTCGACATGCGTTTACTGGGAAACTCTTCTGCCACCAAGGAGCAGTGGGAGCAGATGTCCTATGAGGGAGAGTTGCCCACCAGCGTGGGCAGAGCACAGAGCAGGGCCAAGTGAGGGTGGGCTCGGGGTTGGGCTCTGTGAGGCCACAGTGTGGCCAGGCTGGGCAGGCGGGGGGCCTTGCAGGCCCTGGACAGCCTGAAGTGTGCATCCAGAGATGGCCTCACCCAGGCCATCCCCACCACAGCCTGCTGTTTTACCAAAGGATAAAGAGGGACCCCACCCAACCCAAGGACAGGAAGAGCCCGGCCCAAACGCTGTCCACAGCCTGGTGGCCAGCAGGTGCCAGGTAAGCAGCCCAAGGGAGACGGCTGCACAGGGTCCATGGCAGCAGGGGGCAGGGTCCAGAGCGCAAGCAGGGGCGAGGCCCGTGACAGCAACATAGAGTCCCCAGATGCTCACCGGCACCACCCAGTGAAGTCAGACCTGGGGGCCTCCTGGCCTGACACCCACCGTCCCATCACCCGAAGCTGTGGCAGAAGCAGAGACCGGGGCTCCATCCTCGCTGTGAGCCCCTGGGAGGTCACCTGATCCTGCGGGAACACTGCAGGGAAGGCTGTGTAGTGTCCCCCATCTGAAGGGGGCCAAGAGCTTCAGGGGAGAACCAGCAGGGCCTCGTGACGCCTGACCTGGGCACCAGGGGCAACAAGGAAGAAGAGGGGTTCTCAGACTGCTGTCTGAAGTTGGAGGCACCCATGGGCTCAAGTGTTAACAGTTAATATCCACATCATAGAAAGAACTGAAACAACTCAATAAAGAAGGAGTTGACTACAGCTAATAAACATTTAAAAGATGCTTGAATTTCCAAGTAATTAATGGAATAGCTAAGATAAGCTTTTTAACCCAACAGATTAGGAAAAAATGAAGGGTGAGCTCTAGTGCGGTGAAAGTGTGGGGGAACAGGCCTTCCAGGGCAGTTGGAGTGCGTGTTAACCTCTGTAACGTGCAGACTCTGACCCAGCGATTGCCCTGGGAGGCCCCCGGTCCCTCTCAAGGCACACTGATGGATCCGTGCACTCCAGGACATTCACTGCAGCATGGTTTCTGGGAGGGGGAAATCCACAGACAAGCTAAATGTCCTTCAGAGAGGAACAGTCAAATACGTCAGATGAAGTGGATAAGGCAGCACCCAGGGAATAAGGTATTGAACAGGCAGAGGACTGAGTCGAAGGAGTACGTACCCAGGGGCGTCCGGAGCGTGGGAATTCAGGAGGGACACTTCCATGTACCTTTGTGTTATGTTAAAATACCAAAAAACCACCCCCAAAACCAGAAAACAAATTTCAAAGCAACCAAATTGTTGAGTTGATGTAAAATATAAAACCACATCTGTCTCAGACACACCTTTGCTCCCACCTCGGCCCCCAGCAAAGAGCACGGGCCCACGCCGGCAGGTCAGCCCCTCCACATCGTGGCCAGAATGGCAGCCTGAGAAGGGAAGCTGATCTGCAATGACTTCCTGCTTCAAGGCTCTGCAGCTGTCCTTGGACCCCAGGACCACAGCCTCCCAAAGCACCGGCCCACCCCCAGGCTCCCACCCCTCGCCCTGTGTTCCACTGCCCTCACCTGCCTCAGGTCCCAGGTGCCACATAGGTGAGTCCTGACTCCTGGGACGCCCTCCTCCCTCCCTCCACCCCCGACCCCGGGTGCCTAGGTCATTCCTGCTCACCCTGCAGCCCCCAGCTCGGTCCTCTGTTCTTCTGCCATTTTGGCCGCCCACTAAGGGTGTCCACTGCTTAAGGTTTTCATAATACCCCACTGCTGCGCTTCAAAGGCTTCCTCTCTGTTTGAAATTCAGTATTTGCAGTTTGTTAGTTACTTATGTTAGTGTCTGTGCCCCCAGCCCTGAGTGTCATGAAAGCAGGGGGTCATCACTGCACCCAAACACCCCACCCAGGGTCTGCAGCCAGGGTCTGCAGCAGAGCCAGGGTGCAGTGAGTGCTATGTGGATTAAACATTCAAATAAGTGCTTAGGCATCATATCTATTTTTATGTATAATTTTTCCTTTTTTTTTGGTGAGGGGAGGAGGTAATTAGGTTTACTTATTTATTTTTGGAGGAGGTACTGGGGATTGAACCCAGGACCCTGTGCACGCTAGGCATGCACTCTACCACTTGAGCTATCTCCCCCGCCTCCACTCCTATCACCACATCTATTTTTAAACTTTTTTATTTTGGAATTTTTAAGCACACACAAAGCAGAAAGGAGTATAATGAAACCCCAAGCAGCGGTCATCCGTGTTCAGAAACCATCAACGTGTTGCCGTTTATCTACACCCTCTTCTTCTTTCCCTTGTTCTGCTCACAAAAACCTCAGTACGTGCACCGACACACTTCCACACACAGAAATGCGCGTGTAGGAGTGTCTGTGTATCCACTCAGAGGTCACGGGGGACCCGGAACACGTGGTGGGCCATGGTCACAGCGCACCGGAAGCCCCATGCAGGGCTAGTGGCTTCCCACATGCTCCGGGAGCCGCCTGGTCTCTCAGGTGGTAAAGTTATTTGGCGGGGAGCCGCTGTCACACCCTTCCCGCCCCGAACAAACACAAAGACGCACAGCCCAGCGAGTCACCTACTTGGCTGAACTGTGCACCTGCTCACCCTCTGGGAAGCTTCCTTCGTGAGTATTTTTCTCCCCTGCGCAAAGTCAACGGAGGATGACGAAAACAGGAAAGCCCAATCAGGCAGAGACTGAGGAGCCAAGGCCACCTGATCGCCAGCAGGGCCCAAACTCAAGGCTTGGATCCCAGAGAAAACAAACGCTGCTGGGCGTCCTGCGTACCCTCAGAAAGACAGAAGGGAGAGCAGATCACGCTGGAGACAGGACCTGCTGGCCTTGCTGCTCACGCAGAGAGGGGACAAGTATCCTTTGTCCTCAGAAGTCAGAAATCATCTCACAGCTGTAAGCTCTGGCGGCTGCTGCTCTGGAGGGAGCTCGGGCTGGTGGTGTACGTCCCCACTACTGACTTGGGCAAAAATCTCATGTTCCCAAGGTGTGCTGCCTGAAGGAAAAATAGGTGTAAGTAAAAAGACTTTTTAATAGCCAATATTTAAAAGCATGTGAAAGGGTTTTTAAAAGCCCAACAATAAATTCAGATATGTATTAGTGCCAATGCCTTATTAACCAGATCACACCCCTGCTTCCAACCGACCCTCCTGGCCATATTCTCAGAGCAGAGACACTGCGGAGAAGCTGGAGCTGATGGGGTCTGTGCATCTGTGGCCCACATTAGACCAGCTCCCTCCTCCAAGTGGGGCCCAGACCCTTCCATTTCCCAGGAGTTGCATCTCTGCCTCTGTTCCCCCCAGGAGTCTTGTGGCACCATGACTGATAGGCACCTGGTGGGAGAGGTACCAGAAGGTGGGGAACCTCAGCCCTCCCGGATTAAGCCAGTGTCTGAGAATCTCAGCAGTCTTTGTGTCACTGTATCTCTTATTTCAGAAAAAAAACAAAACCAAAACTAAATTTAAAAAAGTTATCTTCTCCACAGATGACAAATCACTCTTCAAAAGCGGCAAGTTTTCACTCCAGTACCATCTCCCCAACAGAGCCCACCACCGCCACCCCAGGGTGCCTCTTGGGTCCCTCGGCTTAGACACACCCAACGTGTGCAATTGTGCCCTCAACCTCCATCAAATGTCCATTTCAGCAAAATTGAGAAAACCTGCCCCTGATTTAGCCTGAACAACAAGGGTAAGAGAGCATCCAAAGACAGAGCTCAGTGGTGGGGCAGGCACTTAGCATGCTCAAGGTCCTGGGTTCAGTCCCCGGTATCTCCACTAACAAGAAAAAGAAAAGAGGGGTGTCAGCTTTTAAGAGTTAGTGATTCTGCCTGTTGAGTTACTAAGGGGCCATGAGGCCAGGGGTCAAGAGCTCAGGTTCTGGGTCCAAGATCCTGAGTCAAAAGCTGGTTCTGCCTCACTGACCAAAGGACCTCAGGTCAGTTACTCCATCTCACTCCAGCCTGTCAGTAAACACAGCGATGATGACCACACCCAGCTCACAAGGGTGTTGTGAAGACTGAGAAAACACATGTGAAGTCCCACGCTTACGAAGCACTCAATAAATATTAGCAACTATTTTTATTAGCCTTTGATGGTTTAAATTTTGGTTTGAAAATGTGAATCAAAACTTCACATTTATTTCTACATTAACTTAGGATACATCATTATCATTACTTCATTAAAAACGTTACTTTGTTATTTACATTGATCGGCCACAGCTCAGACAGTCAGGAAGAGAAAAAGCTCTTCAAATAACTGTGTAGCCCGGACAAGGCCCTAATCTCATCCTGCCTTGATCTTCCTACTCTGAACAGAATTAGAATCAGGCTACTCTGAAGAATGGTGATAATGGTGAAGTCCTGCCCCCTCTTCCTCACCCAGCAAATACATGACCTACCGCGCTGAGAGAAGGCAGGTCCTGGTCAGAGTGCCACAGGCCCAGCGTCCTCCCAGTAGGCCCCTAGCATCTTGGATCTGTGCAGCTACACTCAGGCAGCTCCTCTATGCACAGAAACGGAGACATACAGGTGATCACCAGAAGTTCTGACACCACGGGAGAGCTTAGAGACCCAGTCCCAAACCTTTATTTGACACCTGGCCTTTCCATGGCCACTGGGACACACGCCAGCGCTCAGATCCCTTGCCAGCCAGCACACTGTCACTGGGCGGCCTGGGTCTAGCCCTGCAACTGGAGGACTCTCACCTACTCAGTGCTCATCTGCCTCTATTCTGGGAGCTTAATGCGGATGATGGCCAACTGCACCTCTACTTGGGTTCTCTATTTTTAGCTTAACCTGTATTTCCTGAGTATTTTACACTGCAGCATCCAGCTGTTTCCTGGGTGCCTGGAAAACTGGAAAGTGCCCAGTCAATATTTGTTGAATGAATCACCCTCAACATGAGGCAGTGGGCACTTCCATTCCCATTTGCTTGTGAGGAGGCAAGCTGACTACGGTTATGTGACCTGCCATTCTGCTTAGCTAGTAAACTGTCATTGGGTATCTCCACTGGGCTGTCCCCAGGGTCCCGTGCACCCTCCCCCATCCTCCACTTCCCACCACTGCCCCCACACCAGTTTCCTTCCTGCACTCCCCATGCCAGCCCTGCTCCCGCCACACCTGCCCAGGCTCAAGCATTTCCTGTAAACTTCTCCCCTTTTACAACTGTTCTGCAAGATGCACCCAGCACAAGCTGTCTCAAGCCACATCCGAACAAGCTTTTGTCTTCCGCATAAGGCTCCCCACCCCCTGGAGAATGAAACTCAAGTTCTACCTCCCATTTCAGATGCCAGCAATTAGTCCTACCAGTGCATCTAGCCTTACACTTTCACATCTGCCTCTGGTGCTCGGAGCGCATCACAAATGGCCGTCCTTCCTGCTCATGAACCTTCTGTGCCTCAGGTGCCCACACTGCCTGGGGATTCTGGTTTCCCTGAAGCTCAGGCCTACCTCCTCCAGGAAGCCCTCCTTGTTCCCACTTGAGGCTCAGGTAGGAACACCTGTAACGCTCTACATCACATGGATAAAAATATAATCATCCCCTCTATTCAACTACAAACACCTTGAAGGCAGAGACTAGGTCTTTCTCATTCAATTGCTGAGTGCCTGGCACAAGGTCGGCACTTGGTAGACACTCAGATGTCTTAATGACTCAGGCCGCCTGGTCTTCCAGACCCAGGGGTCATCCTTGACTCAGCTGTGCTAGGGAGCCAGTGAAGCCTGTCACTTACTATCTCCAAAATCTCTCTGAAATCCTGCTTCCATCTGCATCCCCACTGCACACCCAGGCTCAGACCCTCCTTACTCCCGGGACTATGAGATTAGCTTCCTTCCTCCAACATCCCCTTCGTACAATTACACTTCCTGTCTGTTTCCTGCCAGAGTTGCTCTCCTGAAGCACACATCTGACGTCAGCTCCTGGCCTAAAGACCCCTTGCAGCCTGCCCCGCCCGCAGGACCTTCCCTGGCCCTCCGCAGCCTCTCCCCATCTCTGGGTCCACCAACCTATAGCCTCCCACACACCCAACACGGTCCGGTGGCCACGCCCAAAAGTCTGCAAGCACACCGGTGCCCTTGCAGGGCGCACTTCAGGCCCACTCCCTCACGGCTCAGTTCGGAGGTTATCCCCCGGGAGGAACCTGCGATGACTCCCCCTCCTCCACGCAGGACTCGGGCCTAGACGCCGCTCTGTGCTCTACTGCGCTTCCAACCCCACTCAGGGCAAAGTCCCCCAGGTTTCCTCCCATCAGTAACCTGCAGCGGGACCAACGGGGAGGAAGAGCTCAGGGTCCGTCGAAACCCCGCGCTGAGGGCGACGGAGGGCAGGCTGGGGGCTTGGGGGCGGTCCTGCGTGCCGTCCAGGTGCGAATCCCCCTCCGTAGGGCCGCATGTTGGATTCGCAGCTCGCCTGAGCCGCCCTCGTCGCCCGCGCGCATG